AAGAAGACCTTAACAAATGCAGAGGAAAGGAGGGAGAGAAAGAGTCTGTGGGCTTATATATCTAAGTGATCTTTTTAGGACTCAAGTAGAAAACATTTTAATATTTTAACTGACTCTCAACAGCACCCTGTCAGAATCTACCATAGACTATAAGTTCTCAGCTACCGACAAAAACTCCAAGGGAAGCTTTCCCATGAAAAACAGAAAAGGAAACAAAATAAAACAGAACACATTCATGAATCCCAGGAAATAAATTTCTTTTGGTTTGGAGGAAGTATCTGAAGCAGATGGGCTACTGAGAATAAGTAAGATTGCTGATTGCTCTTTTACTTATTCTTGTTAATCAGGAATGAACATCAAATTATTGAAAGGCTGTCCCAAATTTTAAGAGCCAAAAAACCCCCAAACAAGCCATAAAACAACAACAACAAAACAAAAAAAAAACCTCAAACTGAAACCAAACCAAACCAAACCAATCAAACAAAACCCCCACAAACCACCACCAGCAAAACCACCTCAGCGATGACACAGTACAGAGTTCTCAGCCCTTGTGGACTCACAGAAGCTCAAGACGAGCTTAACCATGGCTGGGATATCTCAAGAAAACGGCTGCTGTCTTCTTGAAGTGACAGAAGCCGCGGTGACTGTCTGAGCTGTTCTAGAACAGCGCACAGAACTATGTCAGAACTGCACCTTTCTTCGTGCAGGCTTTATCTTCACAAATACTACAGTTCTAGAGTTCAACAAAGAAAGGGATTTGCTTCAAAAGTAGGGACTTCTAGCAGTTGAAATTTATTCAGTGTGTTTCGTGGGAAAATAGTTATGTGATGGTTACGTATGCCTGTATCATGTGCCTGTATCTGTACAGATAATGAATGTATTTGCTTCATGAAGACAGCGGTGCTTAGCTTAGCAACAGTTCCCCAGAATTCAGTCCGTTGAGCTCAGGGATATTTTAACAACTACTGCAACTATATGACTTTCTCTCTGTGGGATAAGTCTTTATTTTCTATCTAAAAGAAGGAGCAAACTTCTGAGCATTAAGGTGATAATGCACCACATGTAACAGCTCTTCATTTAAAAAGTGATTTTATTTTATTTCTCAAGTCAATTGGATATCAAAGGATATTTTCTTGGAAAGAAGAATCTGAAAATTATAAATAAGGAGGTGATTTCATAATACGAAAGGGCTAAGTTAAGTAGCATTTTAGGCACCCTTGACAAAAATAAGATGTCTTACAAAAGTCAACGGCATGAGATTTATTTTCGTCATAAGGAAGGAAACAGAAAGCACCAGGATAAAGAAATAGAACAGCAACTGAAAAAACGAGAGAGAATTTATCGTCTGGAAGCCTACTAATGAGATCAAAACAAGCCCGAATGGAGGCTAACATAAGAAAACGGATAACTGCATCTTATAGCACCTGAGATTGCTTTAGAAATTCCTGCTGTCTGTCATTCCCTACACATCTATGGAACATTTTTTACCTGGGAAACATTTCTTTTTTTCAAGGAAATAACAAGCCAAAGAGAGAGCACTATTACCGACAGCCTGCTGTTCTGTTCTGCCCCTGCTAGAACATTCACGTAAAACTACTGTCAGAAAAAAGAAAGAGAAAAAGAAAAAGAAAAAAAAAAAAAAAAAAAAAAAA